TCCCTCCTCCCTACTCCCTCCTCCCTTTTCCCTCTTCCCTTCCTTCCTCCTTCCTCCGTCCTCCTTACTCCGTTCTCCTTCTTCATTCCTCCTTCCTCCTCCCTGCTTCCTCCTGCTCCTCCTCCTCCTCCTCCTCCTCCTCCTCCTCCTCCTCCTCCTCCTCCTCCTCCTCAGACGTAGCCTCGGAATGAGTTCAACCACCCTAGTCCTCGTTAGGTTCGGCTTGCTGCAGGAACTGTGATCTCGCAGTTCGAGCACACTGATGTAAGGACCCCTCGTCGATGCCATTGAACCGACGAACCGAATTGTACATATAAAACGCTATAATAATCCGCTCGAGCGCTCTCAGTCTCTGGGGTTCCGACATTTCTCGAGCGAGACCGAGGCGCCGATCGAGGAACACTTCAATAGGCTCTTGGGGCCACCACACAGAGAGCACCGCCCCCCATAGAAACGGGCACGACATGTAGTGAGCTTGCGCGTCCAGCGCATCCGTGCAACCGAATTTGCAAGGGCAGTCGGTATGTGTCATCCTCCGCCCAGTCGTCCACCCACCCACAAGAGTTTGCATGACCGAACTTTGCCACGCAGGAGGGAAGCTGGCCAAGCACTCTCGAAGCGCGGGCCAGCTCACCCCAGCACGAGCCCGACGGGATGGGGTCCGAGACGCCCACTTGGCCAGGCGCCTCCAGATGACGGGTGCGAAATCTTCTACGAAAAGAGAGCTGACCAAGGATCTGGCGAGAGTGCGTTGCACAGGGGCACGTGGGTCCACCCGCTGCGCCTCGTCGAGAGCTCGGAGGGCCGCCGCGACCGCCGACCTCAGGGGGGCCGCTCCAAAGAACCCTCGGTCCGCTCTCGCCAGCTCCTGGACGCACGGAGGCGACTGCCAGTGCGCAGGCGACCAGACATCAGCCAACCACGTAGTCAACGGGAGGGCCGACTCGGCGACGTTCTGAAGCCTGGCCCAAAGCGGTCTCCAGTTCGTGACCGTGGACCTGGCAGTTCGAATCGTAGCAGCCACCGACTGGGTCTGCAGAAACAGAGGCCTCAACTTCGACCAATGACGCAATGCAAGCAATTGGTCCAGCGGAACCGGAAACGGCGGAAGATGCAATATTTTATGCAATGCCCAAGACTCCCACTTCGCTATAGCTCTAGGCAGCGGGCTCAGTTGCGCCAAATAATTGAATTTCGAAACAGCTCGCGAATTGTACATGTACAGGGCTACCGACGGCGGCGCCGTGGTCTCTGCGATACTCCTGGCAACACCCACCCACTCCCGAAACGCCCTCGCCCAAACATGTTTCGCCGCCGCAGGACCAGACCAGACGCCTAAATCTTCGGCAGCATCTACAATCGGTATCGAACGCCATCGCGGTACTAGCTTGGCCAATCGCTCCTGGACGTGCGAGTGAAGGGAGGGGGAGAAGGCCTCAGAGACGGGGACAAGGCGACATTTGGGGATCGCGAGGGCGAGGCCAGCTAGAAAATCCGCGGCGTAGAAAACACCTGAAAGCTTAGATAGGGCCTGCAATTCAGCCACCGTCGCACCGATATCACCCGCGCAGACTCCGATTTCGCACCCTGGATGTCCACGAAGCCTGGAACGCATGTCCCTCAAGAAAGGATCCATCGCTAGGGCCCACAACGTACCTGAGGCAGGGACTCCTTGCATCACGCCAGACACAATCGTGCAACATGTCCACAACTGTCCTAGCACCGCCGCCCGAGACATCGCGAAGGCATAGGTGGCTTGGGCAAACTGCAGGAGTCCTAGCGGGTAGCCACATCGCTCGAGCACAGCCCAGAGGAAAGAGTGGAGGAGGGAGGAGAAGGCACTACCGAAGTCGAGGCAGAGGAGACAGGGGAGACGTGCACTGGCTTCTGGGTGCATGCCGGCTACACGTGCAGAAGTGTCGAGCAAAGTTATATTGTCCAAGAAATTTCTCTTCACTAGAAAACCACGCTGGTCAGGGTGAGCCTGTTGCGCAACCTGTCTCGTCACCTGCTCATTACATGCCGAGGCCAAGATTTTCACATCTGAGTTCTTCAGCGCCAAGGGTCTCGTGTTCTGTGGCTCACGCAGCACAAAGGACGCATCCTGCCCCCGTCTACCCTTGGGGCAAAGATCAGGGGGAGGTCGTTCAAAGAAGTGGGAGGGGGATAGCCACTCAATAGCTCTATCAAGAGCCCGTACAAAATTTCCTGCGACATCGGACTCTGCTTCCACGCAGCATAGGGAAGTCCATCTGGCCCAGGGGCCGTCGGTCAAGCCCGTTTAATTACCCTGGCAATCGAAGACACTGTGGGTGGGGCCACATCCGAAACATCGAACCGCTTCACATGCTTGTCGAGATAGGCATTGAGATGGCGTTGCGAGACAGGGCGGGGCGCAAAAACGGGGCCCCAATGGTTCCGAAGAGACGTGACCATGGCCGAGGGGGAAGTGACAACCGAACCGTCAGGAGCGAGAAGGCCCTGGAGGGGAAGAATTTTGCCCTTCGGAGCCCATAGTTTCCCCCTGCGCCTCTCCGCCCGTGCATGGGCACGCAAGCGCTTCTTCTCAGCCCAGGAGGGCGAATCTTTCGCCTGGGTCTCCGACCTGCGAACTCTGTCCTCAGAAATCTCCTGCTGCAGCGCTTCATATTTCCTACGGAAGTCCATGGGCCACACAAGAGACACGACCTGCTCCGACGAAACCGATAACAACTCAGCTGGAAGGGGGCCTGACGCTAACAACGCGCGGGCAGGCCTGACATCGTTGAAATGGACTGCGCGCGCAATGGAACGAAGAAGAACTAGCTTCGCCTCCAGCGGTGGCGCGCGCATGCTCACAAGCTTGTTACGAGTCAGACGGGCAGCCCCCCTCAGCAATCTCTTGTACTCCGCCCACCTGGGAACCGCCTGCGTCTTGTGAATGTCCGAGTGGCTCATCAACAGATCTAAGTAGTGCTTGAACTCTGGCTGCTTGCAAATTAAGGCAGGCACAGGCTGGCCCTCCTCTGGCTTCATATCCCTGGGGGCGAAGCTGATCTGCACCGGTGAGTGATCCGATATGCCTTCAGCAAACAACTCTTCTGGCGGATAGGCGACTGTTGCTGCAATCGACCATCGAATCAGTACCCAAGGTGGCGTACTTATGAATACTTTATCAAGTTGAGTTAATCGTTGATCATATTTGATGAAATGCGTGGGAAGCTCTGGGTCAAGTTCAGTCATCCCCGCAAAGGCGGCCGCCCATATATCACCATACTCTCTTTGACGAGGAGGGTGGACCAATCCTTTGTCGATCTCTGGGAGATGAAGGTGCGTCGCCGCCGTCTCCGTGTAGTTGAAGTCACCCACAGCGAGGACGGTCGTCCTGTACGGGCTCTGGGAAGCCACAGACGACTCCGCTGCAATCCTGGCCGAGAGCGTGTCCACCTGCGCCCTCGACAGCCCGAAATTGTGGATGTTGTAAACTATGGACATGGTGTCAGCACGATGCTCGTTCGCTCTCGCCTTGATCATGACGCGGTGGGCCCTGCCATTGACAAGGATCTCGTGCTTCAATCTTCCGACGCGAATCGCCTCCTCCGCCTCCATCTGTGACATCTGCGAAATGATAATCGCCACACCTCCCGAGTCATGCTGCGGCACCGATCCAAGTACCGCTCCAGGTATACGATGAAGATAGCAATGATGCTTGAGCTCCTCCAACGTACCGTGCACTTCCTGCAAACATATGATCGCCTGTCGTCTACACATCAGGGCGAGTTTCTTGAACTTCTTCCGCCGCACCTCTGGTTTGTGATGAAGGAGAGCTCTGCCGTTCCACGACGTAATCTGAATCTGCGTTGCAGGGAAGGCACGGAACTTCTCGTGCCAGGTGTCCAGCGTGCTGCTAAATACTCCACTTGATTTTTTGTTCCGAATGGAAGCGAGAACTGAAAGCCGCCAACAAAGCCGTCTTGTCCACACCGTGTTGTTGGACCACATTGTAGTTCCATCGCAATGATGAAGATTGATCTTTCTGAAGTCCTGCCTGTATCTGCACGCAGGAAACTCCTTCCAAAAATACGATACCTTTGGACCTGTCGTGTCGGTGCCGAAGTCCTGGGCAGGCGTCACGTAGAAGCTGAGCCACAAATTGTGTCTGTACTTCTGTCCTGACTTGTTTCGCTGATTTGTCACATCCAATAAATACTCTCGAAGTTCCATTCTCGATGGTCCTCGCATCAAAGGTTCTCCAGTCACCATCTTTCTTGAGAGCCCTGCGCGCGTGTGCAGCCCGTCTGGAGGCCGCGCCGACATCGCCCGAGAACTGAATGACGTACCTTCTAAATGGTGAGGGACCCACAACTTTCCATTTATCTGCCTCGATGCTGGCCTCCTCCAGCCACGGGGTGATGGCACGCTTGAGCTCCTCCACTGCCACATGTGCGGTGGTATTTGCACATAGAACGGTGGTGTCGGGATCGCGATCCCATTCAGCCATTGAGTCAAAATCTTTGATAGGTACGGTACTCTCTGCCAGATACAGAGTTTCTCTGATCTGCTTGAGCTGCTCTTTGAAGTCCGTCTGGCTCTGCTCCGTGACCTGCTGCCTGGCTCGTAGCTCCTCCAGCTCCGAGCGCAATTTCAAATTCGTCTTTTCTTGCCGAGCCGCCACAGCCTTGACCAGAGACTCCGTGTGGGACGAGACCGAAGCAACGATGCCCCCCTTGAGGTCGGAGATCTGCTCTGTGATGGGCTTCTGCATGGCGGACTTGAACTGGGCAAGCATCGCAGCGACGTCGGAAGGGTCCCCCTCGAAATCGTCCAGGTCCTCCACGTCCTCCTGCTTGCCCGAGTCCCCGTTGTTGCCACCAGGCGAGAGCGGGGTGGACTGGGTGCCCTGCGGGGTGGCCGAGGCAGGGACGTCTCTGCCTGGAACACGTTGGTGCCGTCCCCCACCAGCAGCACCTTTGCCACGCCAGGGGTCAGCGTCCCCAGCCAGCGGATCGCCACCAGCAGGATCAGCAGATGCACGGCCCCGTCCCGCAGCGCGCTGCGACCGCGTCGCCTCAGCCCCCGCAAGACGGGCTGGAAACCGCGAGGAGGAGCGCTCTCCTCTGCCGCCATCGCCGCCAGGCATCGGAAGCGGGGCCCGAGCTGGAGGAATGCTGGGCCGGAAAGCCGATGGAAGTGAAGAAGGAATGATCTGTGCTGGAACCAGCAGCAGGAAACGGTGTGGCCTGTCGCTCGAGGACGGGCGACGGATCGGTCAAAGCTAATCGTGATTCGGTATGTTAAGTCACCTTCACACGTTTAGCCTTGAGCCAAAATGGCTACGGACCCTCCTCCTCCTCCTCCTCCTCCTCCTCCTCCTCCTCCTCCTCCTCCTCCTCCTCCTGCTCCTCCTGTTCCTCCTGCTCCTCCTGCTCCTCCTCCTCCTCCTCCTCCTCCTCCTCCTCCTCCTCCTCCTCCTCCTGCTCCGGCTCCTCCTGCTTCTCCTGCTCCTCCTGCTCCTCCTGCTCCTCCTGCTCCTCCTCCTCCTCCTCCTCCTCCTCCTCCTCCTCCTCCTCCTCCTGCTCCTCCTGCTCCTCCCTCCTCCTCCTCCCCTCCTCCTCCTCCTCCTCCTCCTCCCCTCCTCCTCCTCCTCCTCATCATCATCATCATCCTCCTCCTCCCCCTCCCCCTCCCCTCCTCCTCTCCTCCTCCTCCTCCTCCTCCTCCTCCTCCTCCTCCTCCTCCTCCTCATCATCATCATCATCATCATCATCATCATCATCATCATCATCATCATCATCATCCTTGTTTCTCCTCCTTCTCGGTCCTCCTCACTCCTCGATCGTGAGGCGGAAGCGAAGACCTCCCCTAGCACTGCTAGACAGCACGCACACACACACGATCGGCGGATTGCAGATCCGTCTACTTTCTTGTGACAAAGGATGTATCATGCGCGGCCCTCCAAGCCCTCTGCATTTGATTATTAGCAACGCTGTTGTTCCGCATTTTCACGTTTCAGCAGAAGGCATCCTCGCAATCACAATCGCACAGAGCCGGAACCGTCCATCTCGGGCCGTACCTGAATACCGTAGACACAGACGACAAATCTTGCGATCGGAAATCTTGGGGCACACTCTTCGGCGATCTCTGAGGGTCCTAAGGTGCCCCCGAGCTTCTGTGTGTCCCTGAAACCAGCGAGGATCGAGAAAATACCCCGAGGCACCTGCTGGCAGGCCGGTCTCTTGCCTGGCGTGCCTACCAGAGTCCCGCCTGAGCTGGGTCCACCCGATGAGCTCCTACGGTCGGAAACTGCTGGACGTCGTGTCGCCACGGCGGCCCCGGCGACGCGCGAGGACCTGCGAGTGGACAGCGTGCCGCTCCGCCCCGCGGGACGGGCAGCTCGACGAGGCTCGGCCCGCGGAAACCTCGGGACCGCGGAGCGGACAGCGTGCCGCCCCGAGGCGCGGCGGGCCGGAGCCAGCGGAACGCCGCGCGCTGCCCAGGCGGAGTCCCGCCCCGCAGCCCTGGAGGCCCTGCCCTGTGCGGGTCCGCCCTCCCGATCCGCCCAACGGGGCTGGCCCGCCGCACGGCACCCCCTCAGCTCGGGGGCGGCCAAGCGGGGGGCGTCCAAGAGGAGGGGGGGGGGGGGGGGCGCAAATCGTGGCCGGCGACGCCAGGGACGCACTGAACCAAGACGAGGCGCCAGGAGATCTGGGGAACTATCACGGGCCTCGCCATGAGATCCCCTCCCCCTAATCCCAGACCCCCGACGTAATGATTTTTTCATTACGTCGACCCCAGAGGTCCCGACCCTTTCCCTATGATCGGCTTTGCATCCTGAGTCGTTTTTTGACGCTCCCGAGGCCCGGCGAGGGCCCCCGGAGGCCGAAAATTAGGAAAAACCTCCCGTCGTGATTTTTTCATTACTCGAGGGGGTCTGGGTCTCTGCCGCCCCCGATCGACGGAGCCGCCCGGGCCCACCGCCCGCTCGCTCGCCGGGCATTTCCGCCGCCAGCCCGCTCCGGCGCCCCGCCCGCCCGACCCGCCGTTGCGGCCTCGGGCCCGCCCGCTCGCTGGCTTGGGGACTCGCCCGCCCGCCTCGCGTGGGGACCGCGCGCGTATACACCGTAAGGTACGACGACAACAAACAACGACGACGACGACGACGACGACGACGACGACGACGACGACGACGACGACGACGACGACGACGACGACAACAACAACAACAGCAACAACGACAACGACAACAACAGCGACAACGACAACGACAACGACAACAACAACAACAACACAACAACAATCACTTTACCCGAACGCTCAGTGTTCTCACCAGTGCCAGGGTTTTCATGCGACGCCAGCCAATACCCCCACTTTGTGGGGGGGCAGTGCAAGCTCTACCAAATATCCACACGACTCTTCGCCACCACCCACACCCAGCTTCCCGCCCTATGACGTTCGGACACTTCACTTCGTGGCCTGCGGACGACCGTGGCTACTACACTGGCGTGGAGTACACACCCACAGAAGTTGTTAAGCCTACGTTCGTACACCCACAGAAGTTGTTAAGCCTTGTTAACCCACAGAAGTTGTTAAGCCTTCCACAGAACATCTGTTGCATATGATGCATATGGTACATGATACACATGATACACATGATACGTACTCACAAGATAGTTGATCACATCTTTAGGGCAAATTCCTGAGGGATGTGGGAATACACAAGAGAGAGAGGATATGGTTGTCCCGATGGTTGTCTCGATGGTTGTCCCGATGGTTGTCCTGATGGTTGTGGTTGTCCCGATCGTTGTCCCGATGATTGTCCCGATGGTTGTCCTGATGGTTGTGCTTGTCCCGATCGTTGTCCCGATGACTGTCCCGATGATTGTCCCGATGGTTGTCCCGATGGTTGTTCCGATGGTTGTCCCGATGGTTGTCCCGATGGTTGTGAGCGATGCCGGATCCTCACGCCCCCCGCCGGAGGAGGAGGAGGAGGAGGAGCAGGACAAGGAGGAAAGGAGAGAAGAGAGAACGGAAGGAGGGGCTTCTTGGAAGCATCTTGGGGCCTCTTGGGGGCTTATTGGGTCCTCACGGCGGGCTCTTGGGGCAAATTGAAGGCCTCCTGGGGCAACCTATGGCGCAACCAGTAGGGGGACGTTTTATTCTCGGCGGCCGAGGGCGCAACCTATGGCGCAACCAATAGGGGGACGTTTTATTCTCGGCGGCCGAGGGCGCAACCTATGGCGCAACCGCAAGGGATTGTGGCCCCTGGCAGGCGCGCGAACCCCGTTGCAAGAGCGTGCGAAAGTAGCTCGCGCGAGCTCATGTAACATAAATGTTGGAAAACCATTGGTTTTTTTAGGATTCGGACAGCGCGCGCGGGTAGAAATTTTGAAAAGTCGTGCAGGTGTTTTTCGAGGACCTACGGTGCGATTCGTGTGATTTTATGATGCGCGGTGCTAAAATTCTTAAGAAGCCCAATGGTTTTTGGAGATTTCGGCGTGCGCGCGCGAAGAAAAAACGAATGTGTCCCGCATGGTATTATTTGACAGGGATGATGGCCCTGGCAGGTGCGCAACCGTTGTCGCAGAAGTTCGAAAAAGTTGCTCGCAAAAGCCCGTTTGACAGAAATGTTTAAAAAGTGTTGGGTTTCCTACGAATCCGCAAGAGCGCGCGGGATGAGATTTTGACATTTTTTTGTTGAAAAACCATTGGTTTTTTGATGTTTTTATGTTAAAATCGCTCCGAACACTAAGCTTTTGGAAGGATTTCGTCTTGCGCGCGCGAATGTCCACTTTACCTTATTTTTTGCAAGGGATTCTTGAAATTTGATTATATTAGAACAAGAAATGTCATTTTCTATTGTTTTTTGCAAGGGAAAGCGGATTACAACAAAACAACCGGATCCTGTACACACCCTCTTTTCTGAGGCTTCCTCACGAAAATGATGAAAATGTAGCTGCGGCCTAGGCGGCGCAGGGGGGGCGCGCACCAGGGGGCCCAACAATAATTATTCTTTAGAATAAATAATGTTCAACAACAACAACAACAATTACTAGCACGTGGGGACACTCCGTTCTCACCAGTGCCAGGGTTTTCATAGGAGGCGGGCAATACCCCCACTTTGTGGGGGGGCCGGTTCAAGCTCTACCAAATTTCCAAACGACTCTTCGCCACCACCCACACCCAGCTTCCCGCCCTATGACGTTCGGACACTTCACTTCGTGGCATGCGGACGACCGTGGCTACTATTCAGGGCCCCGCGGCCGACGACGACGGCGTGCGCGCGCGAAGAAAAAACGAATGTGTCCCGCATGGTATTATTTGACAGGGATGATGGCCCTGGCAGGTGCGCAACCGTTGTTGCAGAAGTTCGGAAAAGTTGCTCGCAAAAGCCCGTTTGACAGAAATGTTTAAAAAGTGTTGGGTTTCCTACGAATCCGCAAGAGCGCGCGGGATGAAATTTTGACATTTGTTTTTTGAAAAACCATTGGTTTTTTTGATGTTTTTATGTTAAAATCGCTACGAAAACTAAGGTTTTGGAAGGATTTCGTCTTGCGCGCGCGAATGTCCACTTTACCTTATTTTTTGCAAGGGATTCTTGAAGTTTGGTTATGTTAGAACAAGAAATGTCCACTTTAGCTTATTTTTTGCAAGGGAAAGCGGGTCGTAACAAAACAACCGGATCCGGACCAACCCGTTTTGCCTGAGACTTCCTCACGAAAATGATGAAAATGTGGCTGCGGCCTAGGCGCGGCGGGGGGGTCGCGCACCAGGGGTCCCAACAATAATTATTCTTTAGAAGAAATAATGTTCAACACAACAACAACAACAACAACAACAACAACAACAACAACAACAACAACAACAACAACAACAACAACAACAACAACAACAACAACAACAACAACAACAACAACAACAACAACAACAACAACAACAACAACAACAACAACAACAACAACAACAACAACAACAACAACAACATCAGCAACAACAACAACAACCATAACAACAACAACAACAACAAGAAGAGGAATCACAAGAACAACAGCAGCAACAACAACAACCACA